CCCGGTACCCTGCAGCACCTGCCCCTACGACCCCTTTGATGTGACCAAGGTGTGGTCCCATGACGACTTCCCTCTCTACGAGTACGGCCGCCTTGTTCTCAACCGCAACGTAGACAACTACCACCGCGATGTCGAGCAGGCAGCCTTTTCGCCTGGTACTGTCGGCCACCAGCCCTTTTGCTTTCATTCGCTGATTGAGCTCAACGAGACCCCTTGGGTCTGATCTGGTTCAACCCTCAGGTTCGCTTGTTCCGGGCATCGAGCCGTCGCCTGATCCGCTGCTTCAGTTCAGGTGCTTCTTCTACCGGGACACGCAGTACTACCGCTTGGGTGTGAATCTCCACCAGGTAGAGTTGTTTAGCCACACCACCACTTGCCCGATCAATCGCCACACATAAGGCTGGCTTGGTTTGTTGGTGCGTTATGTAACTGAAGCTCGTTTTGTGAACCCCCAACAGATCCCTGTGAACTGCCCGTTCGCGGCCAAGGTCAACCACCCGCAGAGCCGCGATGGACTTATGCGCACTGACTACAACGGCGAAGGCGAGCCTACCATCTACCCCAACAGCCGAAATGGTACACTAACCCTATTGCTTCTGTCCAACTTTCTTTTTTCTCAAACCGCTTGCATGATCAACTGGTAGGCCCGAAGGGAGATGCCAAGTACAACTGGAAGCCAGTGCCAGTGACTGGTGTCATTGACCGCGCTAGCAGCTCGCGTCATGCCGGCACTGACTCGGAGTATGACCAGGTACGCAACTTGAGAACAAACTGCAGTGCTCGTGTGTTTCCTCGCGATCGGTCACTCACTCGTTTTGCATAACATTAACAATCAAGGCACGTGAGCTCTTCACCAAGATCATGAGCGACGCTGAGAGGATGCACCTGTTCAACAATATCGCCGAGTTCCTCAAGCTCGCCAACCCCGACATTCAGGAAAAGACCATCATGGCCTTTGGCAAGGTCCACGCTGACTATGCCCAGGGCATCCGCAAAGCCCTTGCAGCAGCCTCCATCCCACCAACTCCCGCTGGCCACGCTGACATCTGAGGTGGGGCTCAAGTCACTTGTCCTGTGGTAGACTCTTTTTTTAATAAAAAAATTTACTACGATGCCCACGTCGCCGGGGTGCAGGCTGATGATCTCGGCCAGCAATGGCTGCAGACCCATATTGGCCAGCTGCACGTTACCATGCCCTGCAACACACGACACACATGACACACGCGACACATGACGCACACGACACACACAACACACGACACACACATCATTTAAATTTTATATTAAAAAATAATGTCCAACCTGCTTCACGTGTTAAGGTATGTGCCAACGGTTTTTGACCACTACAATAAAACCGTGACGTCCAAGGTGGGGAACACTTACAAGCTCGGCATTTGGGACACGGCCGGTACGCACATCCCGTCTTTGGCACACCACTCCCTGCATATATGGTGGCTGCATGGCCTTGACTCATGCCGCCGCCGGTTCACTTGCTCATGTCTTGTGACCTTACCAGGCCAGGAGGATTTCGATCGCATGCGCGCGGTACGGCAGGAAGGTTGAATTCTGGTCTGTGCTCCCCCATGCTCATACAAACCTTAACACCCGTTCCCCCTACCCAAACATCATACATACAGCTTTTCTATCAGGGCGCGCATCTGTTCCTGCTTTGCTTCAGTGTTGTCTCTTCTCATCACGACTCGTTTGAAGGCGTCAAACAAAGAGTACGTCTTGTTGCCCCTGCAGTTGTTGGCATTACTTACATCAACTTTAGTGGTTGTGTGTCGTGAGCACATCCTTTAGAGACTTTCGCTGATTGGGTTGTATGCAGTGGAAAGACGAGCTGCGTGTGCATGGAGGGGACAAGCCGTTCCTGTCATCGGCACAAAGATCGACCTGCGAGATGACCCTCACACCTGTGATGAGCTGCAGAAGTCCCAATTGACACCCATCACCACCGAGCAGGGCAGGCAACTTGCACGGGAGGTTGGGGCCGAGGGGTATGTGTCACATGTCTCCATCTTACTCGCCAGCTCCTTTGATATGTGTTGTGGCCACAATCACACGCACTCACGCACGCTCCTCCCGGCCCTCCATACATAGTTACTATGAATGCTCGGCCAAGAAGCACATTGGATTGAAAGAGGTATTTGCTGCAGCCACGGAAGTGATCAAGAAGCACGACCATAAGGATGAGACAGCAGCGAGGGTGAGCGATCCCAAGGCCTCCACTGGTTGTTGCCTTCTGCAGTGACTCTGTTCCAAGCCACG